ACCCACCGTGGGTGCCTTGACAGACTTTCAAGACCAGTGGTTCTGGTTATGTCCTTTATTGACATGTATCCACAGGAAAATGCATACATTCTCCGAGCTGGTCCCGGCTGTTACCTGCTCTGCTCATCTCTCCTCGTGGTGCAGTGCGCTACTGTTTTTAACAAGGGGAGAGTGATTAGCCAAATACTTCCAGGTGTGTTAACTTATACGTGTTATATTATGTTGAAATAAAATTACATTGATCATGTTGCGGGTCATTTTGACCCATACCGTGTAAATGAATGCAAAACAGTCACAAAAACAGGTTAAACCAATAAACAATTATGTAATATTGAATAAACCTTAAGAAAAGTGACATGCAATACATTTTTAATTCCAACACTTTCTTTAAGAACTATTTTGTTTGTTTTTTTCCCTCTTCACAAACACATTTCGGAATTTTGCTGTGTAATCTCTGCAATTCTTAGATTTCACACAAGAGGTACTTATTTTATTGTCTTCTTGGGATGGTCAGACCTGGCATCCCCTTTTTTTCACCTGTCCACTGGATGTTGGTTGGGGGACATGAGCTTTACCTTTTCAATGGTAGCTGCTACTACTGGGATCAAGCTAGCACTGACAGCTGTATGTGGCTTTGTCCAGATTTTCAACTCCTCCTTTGGTGGAATTATGACCCAGGATAATTTGTGGCTTCAAGTCCTCTCTTGTGTCCGGGGATGCATCACCTTACATTGTACTGATTACAAGAACATTCTTCTTTCTCTTTGGGCAGTATGAGACAACTGTCACTTTCTCAGTGGAATTAAATACTGAGGTCTGCCCTGCATCTTCTGAATTTCACTGAGAAGTTCTGGCTTATTTCTTCTGACTGTTCCCAACATGGTCAGCTTTCTCTTCTGAAGTTCTTCTCCAAGGCGGTAGGACGTAAAAAGCTTGTCACAAGTGATGATATGACCTTGCAACCCTTCACATACTCTCCAGCACCACATGCATCCCCTGATCCTTTGCAGATTTTCCTCCACGTATCTTTCCAGTGTATACTTGCAGATTCCATGTATAGCTATATTTTGCATCACAGGCTGCCCATATTTTGGTGCCATTCTTGGCAGGCTTGTTGGGCATGTACTGTTGGAAAGGACAGCGCCCCCTGAATGGAAAAAGACTCATCTATGGAAACATGGGGAGCAGGATTGTTTTCAATCCACAGACTTGCAGTTCCTACTCCCCTTTGACCTGTACACTCCAGCTAGTAACAAAACTCCAATGTAAGCATGCAAGTCAGTCTGATCCAGTGGTTTCCATTTCTCTTGAAACACACCTCTCCCCTCTAAGGTGGTCTTGGTCATTTCCAGTTTCATCCTCTCTACTGGTGGGGATATGAAGATCTGAAATGCTGACAAATCAACTCTTGTGACGCCAAATCTTGCATGACCAGGAGTCATATTGATCACATTGGATGATGCCAGTCTGCCTCGACTTTGGTGTAGTGATGTTAAGTATTTTACAAAGCCCCTCAGACCCAGACCAAAGTGTTTGTAAAAAACACTTTGGTCTGGGTCTCAGAGGCAATGTAAATACAGGAACGTTGAAGAGACATGTCTATTTTTGATCTGAACAGCTACTTACCCACATTAATGTGTCTGGGTCAAAATGACCCGCAACATCATCTTTGTATACATACTCTGCACAGACACCCCACTTCACTTCAAAGTGACTAGATTTTACACACATGTTCATGACCCCAGATGAGGAAAAGTCACCAAATGTCATGAAGAAAAAAAAAGAATAACCAGCACTTTGATCAGCACAAAAAACTGAAACAGGTCAAATTGACCCGTAACATAATATAAGGCCTAATCAACTTCCCTGGCACTGCTCCCCTGATCCTTCCCCACACCTCCCCTCCTGCAGCTGAGCACCACGCCCCCTCCACATATCTCCACCGCCCAACTTAGGCCGATCCGAGGAGATCCGAGGACAGGAAAGACAAGTTCACTTCGAACCGTGAGTAAAGGCTCTCTTGAAAGTGTGTATGTGTGTATGTACGAGTAAGAAAAACCTGTTGGATTCTAGACACTGAACAGAGATGGGTTAAAGTCCGCAGGGACAGCGGAGTCCACTCATGAAGTAAGTTAAAGTCTGCGGGGACGACGGAGTTCCCCCTTTAAAGAAATAAGAAACATCAAAGAAAAACCTGTTCGATTCTAGACACTGAACAGGCAAGGGTGAGAAACAAACCAAGGCATTTTGCAGAAGCAATAGGCAAGGTGATTCCACTCGAAAACTTTGGAGTCGAAGTGAAACACACTGCAAAATAGTTTTCCTGGTCTCACAGTAAAGAAAGTAAGTACCTAGCACCTGACGAATCCTCAAAAACTTGGGACGTAATGTTGATAGTCAGTTGAACTGTTTGGCAAGTCGCGATTGGAAAGTAATGGGAAAAAAAGATCCAGAGAGTGAAGTGAAGTTTTTGAAAGTCAGGGCTACTTAGTTTGACTAGGGATAACAGTTGAAACCAGCCAAATTGAAGGAATTTGCAGAAAAAATAGAAGCAAGGACAAAAGGAAATTTGACAAAGCAACGAAAGTATGAGTTGGAGGAAGGAAGCTGAAGGAAGCACAGGCGAGAGAGAGAGGAGAAAAGGAGGCTCAAAAGAAGAAGCAGGATGAAATACAGAAAGACAGAGAAAATTGGAATGACAGAAGCAAGTAGATGCTCTCTTATTATGGCGTAAGGAAGATGATGAATCTAGTTCGAGTGGGCGACGATGCCGCCAAAAAAGGGGAGACAGGAGGAGCAGGAGCTGCTGACAGATTAGTGGCTGGGGCAGTTGGTTCACAAAATGACTCTGGATAGATCCCTGTATCCAGACGCTACTAAGTTGAAAGTTCACCCATCCCCACCTGAGAGGGGACCTAATCTATATGATCTACATATAAATCTGAAAAAAAACTTTCTTGATTTGATCTCTTTTTCCCCTCCACCATATGAACACCCACAACAGTCCACAGCACCAGGGATAAAATATGTTTTTCCCACGATAGAAGTAGCTAATCCAGCCTTGAGGGAGGCTGGCCAGGCTCCAACAGTTTTAGTTTACCGTACTTGGACGATAGCAAATATTAAGGGCGCTCTGGCGGGCATACCTCCTCCTAAGGAAGACGTTGAAGAGTTCATAAGCGGCATAAGGGAACTAAAACAGAGTCATCATCTAAATGGAGTTGAATAGCAACAGGTGATGACTACCACTCTAGGGGCGAGGAGGGCCTCAGTAGTAGGAGACTGGAGTCCCCTTGATGATCAAAGAACAGTGTGGGCTCATGATAATGAGGCTCTTGATGGGCGTTTTAATGTTCTACTAGACCGAGTGCGCACCTTATTCGCCCGGAGGGAAAATTTCACAGAAATAAATAGGTGCAGACGAAAAGATGGGAGCATAATTGAATGGCGACAGGGTTTATGTATGACCAGTAGGGAAACCAATTCTACCTGAATCATTTGGCAGCAATATTGAGCCATGGTGTGACCCATGTCTCAACAGGAGGGATGAATAATATGGCTAATAACATCTATACAACCTATGGCTTCAATCTTTATACCAATATTTTTGTAAAGCATGTATGACATGTGCAAGGCACAATCCACAAGGGAATTTGATTGAGACCCCTCCCAGAAAGGTTTCCACAGCCAAAGTACCCATTTCAGAAGTTAAATATGGATTTAATTGAACTTGGTACATCAAAAGGGAAAGAGTATTGTTTGGTTGTGGTTGATGCATTCACAAAATGCGTTGAGATTTTCCGACATGCGTTGAGATTTTCCCACAGTGCTAAAAATTGAGGAAAGACCATCCTGGATACACCTGACACACTGTAAGAATGTTGGTTAATTTTCTGTGAAGGCTAACAACGGGGTGGGTGAGTAAAGCCTATTAATTGGGCAGATCCATACGTCAGCCAGAGTTATTCCATATGGAGCATCGAAAGTTAGAAACTGCTATGTGACCAAAGGCAACGGATGGGTACATCTGATAGGCGAAACGGATCACGATTGGTCATCATGGTCTGAGGAAAGTGACTTTTTTTTTTTACTATAACCAAAACATGAACACATCTGCAACTAGCCCTTAATGTGACTAGACATGTCTGTTATACAGTCCAACTCATGCCCTATGCCTCACAGTAGTCACGTTATGACGTAACCTTCTGTCGTGGGGACAAGGACCACTTTGCGGTAGGGCCACGACTAAGCGAGCCGGGGGGGGGGTCTTGTGATAGTGCACACTAGTATGACCAGAGACGATTGGTTCACCGTAACAACGGGCATTTCTGCTAGCACTAATAATTGGCTCCTAATAGCGGGACAGGGTGCTAGGCCAGTGTAGAAAATAGTCCCTGCCCCGATAACAGCAGAGTGCCTGGTTTATGTTGTTTATGTTTATGCATTTGGCAGACGCTTTTATCCAAACGGACTTACAGAGTAGACACAATATTACATTTCTCTTCACTATGACAATAAGCTATATAGAGGAGAAACACTGATCAGAGTCAGTGGTGACAGCAAGAGATAGAGGTAGAGGAGACCACAGAAGGAGTTGTGGGGGGGTAGAGGTACGGGTTAGGATTAGGATAGGAGATGCTCTTTGAAGAGGTGGGTTTTCAAGAGTTTCTTGAAGACAGAGAGGGACTCTGCTGTTCTTGTGTTTTTGGTTCCACTTGTTAACAAAACTAATCCTGAATCTAATTGTACTCGGTGGGACAGAGTATACACACTTACAGCTGCTATCAAAGAGAAGCAAGTTTTTGACACAAGTTGCAGCCAGAAATTTCACCTGTGTAAATCTTACCTGTACAAATCAATTAGGTCTTCTGAATGCCACGAGATGTGTCAACATCCTTGTAGTAACTAGATATTTCAAACCCATTTCTCGGAGTGATGTCTGGTGGTGGTGTGGTGAGCTGCACCTAGGTTGTATGCACTTGTCTCCTTTCTGCTTCCAGCTCACGTGTACCCCACCTCGGCAAGTGAACTGATGAAGCGGCTGAGCAGTGTTCTTCGTAACTACTGGACACCGCTGATGAAGCGAGACCTCAGCTGGCAGTCAACTGTAGACATGCTCCGGTCACAGGGCTGTCAGTGCCTGTAGTAACCCATCTAACCCGCCGGTGGATACCTGCTGTTAGGGATGCCGTCAGGCTGAAGAAGGAGTCCTATCTGGCCTTTTTGGCCTGTGGGACTCCGGAGGCCGCTGATGGGCATCGGCAGTCCAGGCAGCATGCAGCTTGGGTGGTTGCAAAAACTTGGGCATGGGAGGAGTTTGGGGAGGCCATGGTAAAAGACTTCCTTATGGCTTTGAGTTGATTCTGGTCCACCATCCGGCATCTCAGGGTCGGGGAGATGTGCTCCACCAACACTGTTTACAGTGGGGATGGTGTGCTGTTGACCTCAACTCATGTAGTTTTGGGTCAGTGGGCGGAGTACTTTGAAAACCACCTTAATCTCACTGGCACGTCCTCCATTGGAGGGGCAGAGCCTGAGGATCTGGATTCGGACTCGCCAATCTCTAAAGTCACCGAGGTAGTCAAAAAGCTCTGTGGTGGCAAGGCTCCGGGGCCGGATGAGATTCGGCTGGAGTTCCTCAGGCTCTGGATGTTGTGGGGCTGCGTTGGCTAATGCGACTCTGCAACATCGCGTGGACATCAGGGGCAGTACCTTTGTATTGGCAGACTAGGGTGGTGGTCCCCCTATTTAAAAAGGGGGGGCGAAGGGTGTGTTCCAAGTATAGGGGGATCACGCCCTTAAGCCTCCCTGGGAAGGTCTATTCAGCAGTTCTTGAGAGGAAGCTCCGTCGGAGAGTCGAGTCTCAGATTCAGGAGGAACAGTGTGGTTTCCATCCTGGCCGTGGAACGCTGGGCAGGCTTTTTACCCTCAGCGGGGTCCTGGTGGCTGCATGGGAGTTCACTCAACCAGTCCACATGTGTTTTGTGGACTTGGAGAAGGCGTTCGACTGTGTCCCTCGTAGTATCCTGTGAGGGGTTGCTCCGGGAACATGGGGTACCGGGCCCTTTGTTACAGCCTGTTCGGTCCCTGAATGAGTCAGAGTTTGGTTCGTATTGCCGGTAGTAAGTCGGATCTGTTTCTGGTGAGAGTTGGACTCCGCCAAGGTTGCTCTATGTCTCCGGTTCTTTTCATAGCTTTTATGGACAGGATTTCTAGGTGCAGCCGAGGTGTTGAGGGTGTCCATCTTGCAGGCCTTAGGATTACATCTCTGCTATTTGCAGATGATGTGGTCCTGTTGGCTTCATCAAGTCGTGACCTACAGCTCTCACTGGAGTGGTTCGCAACTGAGTGAGAAGCAGCTGGGTTAAGGATCAGTGCCTCCATGTCCGAGACCATGTTCTTTCACCGGAAAAAGGTAAAGTGCCTTCTCCGGGTCAGGAGGGACTTCCTTCCCCAAGCGGAGGAGTTCAAGTACATAGGGGTCTTGTTCGCGAATGGGGTTGGGAGCGTGTTTCCACGCTCATCTATGGTCACAAACTTTGGGTAAAGAACTTTTGGGTAAGAACAGGGTGGCTGAGCTCTTGGGTGACAAGCTTGGCCATCCAGGAGGGGCTCGGAGTAGAGCCGCTGCTCCTCCACGTTGAGAGGAGCTAGTTGAAGTAGCTCGGCCATCTGATTAGGATGGGTCCTGGTCGCCTCCCTGTTGAGGTGTTCCGGTCACATCCCACCAGAACGAGGCTCAGAGGAAGACCCAGGACACGCTGGAAGGACTATGTGTCTCGGGTGACCTGGGAACGCCTCGGAATCCCCCCGGAGGAGCTGGCAGTAGTGACAGGGGAGAGGGAAGTCTGGGTTTCCCTGCTTTGCCTGCTGCTCCCGCGACCCAACCCCGGATAAGCAGCGAACAATAGATGGATGGATGGATGGAAGGATGGATGGTTCCTAGTCCTATTCCTATTATTACTGTTAGACTCAGACTAAAACAACTTTATTGTCATTTTGTATGTACATAGTGCATACAGAACGGCATTTTGTTGCATACAGCTTTTGACAGTGTAATGGGATTGCAGATGGAATAAGGCAACATTACAATATAAAGTGCAGCAGGGATCAGATGTAAAAATGCAGGAAAAAACAATGTGCAGGAACAGTGTCTGGAAGAATGTTCAACCATTGTTTATGTACAAAGATAATGGTGCAAAAAGGCATTTGTTTAGAGAGTATGGTGAAGTGCAAAAAATATGTGCTAAAATGCAGTAAACATTGTGTTGTGTACTATTAAATGGATAATAAAAGTTTGGCAACATTGGTAATGCGAAATAATGATGCAAATGCGATGCAGCGTCCAGTTTAGAGTTCAACAGTTCAATAGTCTGCTTGTAACAGGGAAAAAGCTATTGCAGAACCTGGTGGACCTGCAGCGGATGCTGCGGAACTTCTTCCCAGAGGGCAGTAGGGAGAAAAGATCATGGTGGTGGCTTAAGGGGTCTCTGATGATGTTACGGGCTCGGTACATGCAGCGTTAGAATTAAATGTCCTTAATGGAGGAAAGAGAAGCCCCGATGATCCTCTCTACTGTCCTCATCACTTTCCTCATGTTCTTCCAGTCTGAGGCACTGTAGCCTCCAAACCACACAGAGAGACAGCTGATCAGACTGCTCTCTATGGTGGTTCTGTAGAACGTCGTGAGGATGGGGCAGGTGGGCTCTTCTCATCCGTCGCAGGAAGTACAAGCGCTTCATTGCTCTCTTCACCAGTGATGTGGTGTTCACAGACCAGGTGAGGTTGTCCGTGATGTGCACCCCCAGGAATTTGGTGCTGCTGACCACCTCCACTGCTGAGCGGTTTATGAGCAGTGGAATGTGGCCAGGCCGGTTCTTCCTGAAGTCGACCATGATCTCTTTCGTCTTCTCCACATGCACGATCAGGCTGTTGTCTCTGCACCAACCCACCAGCTGCTCCACCTCCTCTTTGTAGTCCCAGTCGTTGTCGTCTCTGATCAGGCCCACCACCGTTGTGTCGTCTGCAAACTGCACGATGTGATTGGTGGTGAACCTGGGGACCCAGTCGTGTGTCATCAGAATAAACAGGAGGGGCTTCAGGACGCAGCTCTGAGGGGAGGCCACGCTGAGGGGATGACATCAGAGGTGTTCTGTCTGACCCGGACTGACTGAGGTCTGTTGGTGAGGAAGTATAGCAGCCAGTTGCGAAGGCGTATGCTGAAGCCCAGATGTTCCAGTTTTCCTACCAGATGCTGTGGGATGATGGTGTTGAATGCTGATCTGAAGTCCAGGAACAGCCTCCGCACGAGGGTGTTCTTCTCCTCAGACGCAGGTAACGAGGAGGAGATGGCGTCCTAAGTGGAGCGGTTCCGCCGGTCGGCAAACTGGAACGGGTCGAATGTTGGGGGGACACTGGAGAAGATGTGTTCTTTTACCATCCTTTTAAAACACTTCATCATGATGGGAGATAGCGCAACAGAGCGGTAGTCGTTAAACAGGTGACTTGAGGTTTCTTTGACACCAGAATGATGGAGGCAGACTTAAAGCACGCTGGCACTGTGGCTTGGTCCAGCGAGGTGTTAAAAATCTGTGTGAGAACACCAGCCAGCTAAACTGCACACTCCTTTAGCATCCACACAGGTATGTTTAGTAGCATATTTTGTAGAAAATGCCACAAGTTGTCAGGGGCCACAGCCTCTCAGGGCGCCGCCGGTAGCCTGTTATTATTATCATTAACATTACTATCAATATCTGTACCAATTTTCATTCAGTCTATAGCAACAATATCTTTACTTGTCTGTACCTCTATGTGTTAATGTGTAGGCTGCCTCCCCCTGCCTCCTCAGCTCTCTCCGTCCTTCTCCCTCCCTCTCTTTCTCTTGCCCTCTCTCTCCCTCTCTCACCCCCAACTGGTCCATGCAGATGGCTGCCCACCCTGAGCCCAAGATTTGTGTTAAAAAGTTTTCATTTAAAATCAGGAATTCAAATAATGTCAGTATAAACTCATCGTTTACCTGCAATATATCATCAGCATATGAAAGGAAGACAACAGCTCTTTCAAAATGTATTGTATATAGTTATATTTGTTAGTACATTTGATTACATTGAGGAGGAGGAGTTGTGTTTACTTTGTCACCAAATTTAACATGTATTAGATTTTCTTAAAATAACAAATTCCATGTCCAGAACACAGAGGCTAATTGAGATGTAAGATTCACACCGCAGTGGTTAGGAATGCATAATGAAACATGGAGCTTGGCTGCACACTAAATATAGTGACAGAGGTGAGGTTTCAGATCACATTGAATATCATGCAAGCATCATCTTCATCTGCTTGCCACCCACACACATATTCATGCTAAGACACACATACACAGAATATGGAGGTGCACATGGCTGAAACACACACTCAACATTAAGCAGAAACAAATGCACCCAGTTTCACACATTACAGAAGAGCAAATGTACGCAGTGTGAACGCATGCAGAAGCAGGCGGAGGTTGTGTACACACAATCAAACACACACAGACACAAGCACAGGTCAGAGAGTCCCGGTGGCATAGAAACTGGCAGTCTTCCTTTCAGTTTGCTCCAACAATCCAGCAGGCTTTTCTTTACCACACTGCCAGCGTGTATTCCCATTCACACACAAACAGACACATAGCACACAGATTCCGTTCTCTTCTCCAATTTACCATTAGTCTAAGCCCTCATAGGCATTACAGACAATGAGAAGATGAATGAGAGAAAGAAAAGCTAATTTGTGGACATATGCTTTGTTATTGTTTCAATAAAAATTCCCAAGAACATGATGATTACAAGTGCAACAAAAATATTTTTTGGCCATACCTCTATAATGTCCTTTTTTATAAAGATGTCCCTTCAGATATTTTCTAATCGATAATTACTTTGAATAGTCTTAAAAAAATAAAAAAGTTTTGACTTTTTTTTTATTGCTTTGGCAGATTCTGAACAATAATATGAAGCAGGAATTCAAATTCACAGATGAACAAACATTAATACCCTCCTGTTAATCTATTTCATCTCAGTTATAATCCTCAGACTCAAAAGGCAGCTATTTTTGTGTAGAAAAAAAAATTAACAACAAAAAAACTGCACAAACAGTATAAAAGATAATTATGTC